TATAGAGTCTAGGCATCTAACACAGCTCTTATTTTGTCCCATGGAAGAACTTTACCAACTGAGCTATTTCCTTAGCCTTGTTTCCTTGTTTGTGATAAAATTACACATGGGATTTTAAACCTTGACTTTTAGATTTTTATAGTGTAGAAATAAAATCACTCGTAGATTGCTAGTTTCATTGGAATTTTCTGTATAGATCATTCATGTTATCTACAAATACAGGTTTACTTTTTATTTTATAGGATATGTGTCATTAATTATTTCTCAGGCCTTACTGTATTTACTGGGCTCTGCAAACTAATGCTGAATAGAAATGGTGAAAGCAGATGTTCTTACTATGTTCCTGACTCTAGTAGAGAGGGATTTCACATATCATCATTAATCATAATGGTGACTGTGGGGATTTTGTAGATGTTCTTTATCAGATTGAGGAAAAACTCATTTATTTTGTAGTGTGTTGACTGTTTTTAGCATGTATGTTTGTGAACTATTCTTAGACGCTTTGTTTGCATCAATTGGTACCACTTTTAATCCCTTTCAGTCTTCCTGTATGGTGAGTTAAATAAATGGAATTGGAAATGTTGAACAGCCTTGCATTCCTAGGAGATAAATTCCATTTGATCTCATGATATGTCCTTTTTTGTATACTGGATTATTTTACATTTAACTAATCACATTTGGTAAGAATTTATGCTTTTGTGTTTATACAAGATACTGGTCTGAAGTTTACTGTACCTTTTATTGCATTTCTGGTATCAAGTGAATGTTGGTGTCAGAAAATATGTTGGAGATTGTTCTTTATATGCTACCACTTTATTATCAATAACTTACAGAACTTAAGTTACTGGTTTTGCAAGTGGAGTCTGGAGTGTCGCAGGATTTTTCTCCATGACTCCTTACCCCAAGTTTTCAGGAGTCCCTGTACACCTGTGCCACCAGAAGAGGGTGTTTCTTCATGCTCTTACCGTTTTGCATCAGTAGGATGCTGTTCTGTTAGTATTAGGTGCTAAACTCATAGTAAGGCAAGTAGTATTGTCCATGTTCCTCAACTTTTGGGAGGGCCTTTGTTCTTGGATCTTGACAGTTAGGGCTTTATCAGCATCCTTTCTTCTTCCCATTGCAGGTAGCCTCTGATTTGAGTCTCTGGGTGGTTTTTGGTGGAAAATGCTGTTCTGCTCTTTTCTCAGAAATAGATGGCATACTACTTTTTGTTCATATAAGAATCTGGACCAAAGATATTTTCCTGCCCCTCCTCAAAGGTAGAGAAAAAAATGCTTCCACATTTCATGCAGTAGCAGTGGGCATTGTGCTTTGTCCTTTGGATGTGAACATTTCCTATCCATCCTTCCCAGGCAATGAGTTTTGCCTCTCCTCCTCCATGAAAATTAGATTTTCCCCTGGGTCTAGGAGGAAACGACTTGCTGTTTTCTCCCCATAGTGGCTCTACATGATAAATGGTTTTGTGTTAAGTGTTCAAGGTAATTTATCTGTTCCTCGATAGCAGCTGACAGTCTCTTGCATATCTGAACCAGTAATGTGGGTTCTATAAGGTCTCCTTCTTTGTCTCTGTTTGCTTTTGTGAGTTTCTGATAAAGGACCACAGACATTAACTTGTCCATATGTGTATAAATGTCTAAGACTAAGACTGGCCGGGCATGGTGGGACATGCCTTTAATCCCAGAACTCGGGAGGGAGAGGCAGGTGGATCTCTGTGATTTAAGGCCAGCCTGGTCTACATAGCGAGCACCAGGCCATCTAGTTGAGGCTACAGGGAGACCCTTTCTCAAAAAGACATAAAAAGTCTGAGACTTCAAATACTCAAATGGACACATTAGCCCATATTTTAAGAATTAATATCTCCAAGTAATTTATTTTTACGTGCTTGTATGACAGACACTTCTGTCTCCATGCTGCTCTGACAAACAAGAAATGCTATCTGACTTTTGTCTCTTGAAAGGAGGTCATAACCTTTTGATATTTAATTTCACATAGTTATCTGATAGACTGAAGGAGAGCTAGGAATTTGTAACATATCTAGAGATTTTGCCATTGTTAAGTTTATTACATTATTAATGACATTCTCTTAGAACTTTTTATATCCTAAGTGGAAGTAGGTCTGGTATATTTTAGTAATGTATATATATATATTGCTGCTTCTATTAAATATACCTTAGAATCTAAAAATAGAAGATTAACTTCTTAATAACCAAGAAAGTAAGCAAGAAACAGATGGTTTCTAAAGATGGTTTCTAAATTGTACTTACAGTTTATTTTTGTTTTTAGAAATATTTTATTATTTTTATTTTATGTGTATGAATATATTGTCTACATGTATGTAAGTGCATTTGTATCCATGCATTGCCCACAGAAGTCAGAAGAGGATGTCATATTTCCCTGGAGCTGGAGTTACAGATGGTTGTTACCTACCATGTGGTTCCTGGGTATTGAATCTGGTTCCTCTGGAAGAGCAACCAGTGCTCTTAACTGCTGAGTCATCTCTCCAACCCCAAGAGTTTCTTTTTATATGTTTATTATATATTGTATTTTAAAAGTTTTATTCTTTAAATTATTATACACCAAAATAATATTTAAAGTAGTATACATTATACTTGGACTTTATTATATGCACTTCTCTAGATTTTAAAATATAGCAACCACCACAGCCCAAAGACAAATTTCTATCACCCTCACAACTTCCTTGTACTTTTTCCTCTATAGCTACACCCTTTCCCACCTGTAGCACCTATAATGCCAATATTTTCGCCATTATTTTACTTCTGTTATTTTCAAAATGTCATATATCTTCAGTCATCCATTGTTATGGTGAACATATCCCAGGGGGCCCACTCCCTTGTGAAGTATCCTTCCCATGAGTGTGGGCTGTACCTTCTTGAAAGTAGCAGAAGTTGGTAAAGAAGATGGGGTGTCACTTACTCCCATGATTATATTAGGCTCTGCATTAATCAAGTGGAAGAGAAATAGAAGAGAATGAGAGAAGATCCAAAAGAGAGGCAGGGTAGATGCAGAATCTTTGTAAGTTCCAGTGACTCTGAGCACTTGGCTCTTTCTGATTTATTATTGCTCAACTGTTACCCTACACACAAGCCTAGAACATTTCCTATCTGCAATGAAGGTGTTTTAGTGGGTCTTACTGAATAAGAACACTCACTCTAGAGTCAGAGTACTTAGCTATTGGCCAAATTCAACTGGACATTGTTGTAAACATTACTTAATTTCTTTAATGCCTTGTTTACAAAAGGAGAATACTCATAATGCCCATTGTTTGGATCCATTTGTGCTGCTATGATAGAGTAGTAGAAGCTTAAGAAATTTACTTAAATTGTGCACTTATTTGTCTCACAGTTCTGGACACGGAAATATATGACTGAGATGCCACATCTAAGAACAGCCTTCTTACTACATTATAAGGTCAAAGAAAGTATATAGTGAGAGAACAAAGAAGAGAGGTGGTGGGCACGTTCATGGTTTTAACTGAAACCCAAGCCCGCAGTGACTAAACCCCTCCTATAACAATGACATTAATATGTTCACGAGGGTAGCGCCCACATGTTCTAATCAACTTGTAAAGGTCTTACCTCCGAACACTTTTGTCTTGCTTAATAGAGTGTGTGGAATGTGGGAAGAAAACACTTTTGGGTTCTATTATCTTATTAAAAATAATATTTTTACATGTAGAATGAAATGTTATTATCTGGTTATTAGTGAGATAATATATCAAGTCCTAAGACTATTGCCTGACATGTAAAAAATGCAGATATTATACGTGATTTTTAGTATATCATCTACATTCATTATAATAATTGTAGTAGCATAATATTTGCATTCATTATTATTAGTTATAACACTACCTATAAAAACTGAAAATATCCATGGAATTTGTATAATATTTACTGATTTAAATGCAGAATGGAAAGTAGATAAAATCAACTCATGGAAATGTAGTTTTTAAAGGTTTTGACCCTATTTTATGTGCAATTGGGTCTTTCAAATGAAATTGACAGATTGAAAAATATTATAAAAAAGATAACCAAACAATTCTCTTCATTTAAATAAATTCCTGCTTAACATCTGTCCAGTTATCCTCTTTAGATATATAATACTTTTAATTCTATAAGAACAATTTATTTTATTGGTTATTTTAAGATCAGCTATTTTGTGCTATTATAAATTTTGGAAAATACAGTGATTTTCAGTGTTCCACTATGTAACTAGAAAAACTGTTTCCTATTATAGATGAGGATATGCACAATGGGCATTTTCCTGCCAAATCAATGATTTTCACCTTCTAGTTAGAAATAAGCATGTATGTGAAGCAATCTCTGAAACTTTCCTAAATAGTTACAAGAAATAAATTAAAGGAGAGACATGCCATGTTTTAGAAACAAAAAAAGAAAAGTAAGTTTTCTCACAAATAATTTAAGTTTTGGTGCAATCCTAATCAATATCCTTCTCAGTCTACTGTAAAGGAGCTTGACCAACTTGATATATTCGGTTTGCAAGTATTGTTTGAAAATGTTTGAATGTATCTTTTCCCAAGAATTTGACATCACTTTCTTCTTTTGTGATATTCTTATTTTAATATGCGTGTGGGGGTGTGTGGGTGTGTGTGTGGGGGGGGTGTGTATGACAGGTGAGAATAGTGCTCTTTGGGATGAGGAAAGGGACTAGGGAGAGTGGGAAGGGAAGATGAAGGTCAATGAAGCATTGATAAGAACAAAGCGCATGATATACATGCATGAAAAAGTCCATAAGGAAGTCCATCATTTTTTAAAAATGCATACTAACAGAAATTACCTATAGACATATAAGATGCCAGAGAAGGCAAGTAAAAATATGTAAGACATTTAAACTGGGTTTTTTATTATGGGATAATGTGATTTGCTATATTCAAGACATCATCCACTCTAATGGTTTGAATGTAAATTGGATCCTTGTTGCCATTACACTTTAAAGAAAGTTTTTTGTTTTTTTTTTTAAAGGAGCAGTTCCACACCTCAGTGGATTTCTCTTGACAATTGTCTCTTTCCTGTAATTCAAGGAGTGGCCTTCTGCTCAGCATCACAGCCAGGGTGGAGCCTTCTCTGAGCCACTTGCCTTTGAGTTCTGCCTCACCAGTCCTGGGGGAGGAGCTGCATTCAGCAGGCTGCAGCTGACAAGAAGCTTCAAGGTAATGTCTGACTTAAATTTATTTTCTGGTAACTTCTCAGAGCCCTGGAGTTAAGATGAGAAAACAGGAATGATGGTCCGTAATGGTAGGAAAGGTGTGTGGTTTTAAGAGAATGGCTGGCATTTAGAAGGCATCAATATTCTGCAACTTTTGTGTCTCCCAAGGTTTTGGAAGTTCACAGAGAGGAGAAGGAGTGATCAAATTTCAACCTCTAAATTAAGGCTTCAGTGAAGCATGACCGGTCATGCTAATTTCTGAACTTGGCAGCCTGCATTTATAATCCTAGACATTCTGTTATTCCCTGAGGTTTAAAATATTTACTAATTTACGCAGAAATAAAACTGGTAGATGTATTTGAAAACAGAGTATTCATAAATCTGCTAATTGATTGATACCCAGATAAATATCATATGGATATAAGTATAGGAGGGGGATCAAATGAATGTTCAGTTAAGTAAAGACACATGCATATACCATATGCATGTATATTTGTGTAATTAGAGAAAAAATGGTAAGAGCTGCCATGTTAGCATTCGGTATTTCTAGGCAGTCACATTGCTTTTTAAAATATTTTTAACTCATTGCAATATCATCAAAGAACAGATTTTCCCAGGATTGCATATTTGTAAAAGAAAAATGAAGCTCAAACAGCATGAGCATTTTGTTTCAGACACATAAGCTCTCATAAACACACATATATACATGCTTCCACAAACACTTGCATTTCCAAATAGTGGAAATTTCCCTAGATCTGGTCAGATGGCTAGGGTGGTTGCTGTTTCAACTATAGCTCTCTGTGTCTTCCTTATAGTTCATTATTTTAGGCCACACATAGAGTCATGGTGTACACGTGTACACACACACACACACACACACACACACACACACACACACACACACACACACACACACACACACACTTTTTCTGTACCACCTAATTTTAAGAATAAAACAGAAGGTTTAAGTTAGGGGTGATTGCCCACGCCTTTGATCTCAGCACTGGGAAGGCAGAAGCAGATGGATCTCTGTGAGATTGAGGCCAGCCTGGTCTACATAGCAAGTTCCAGGCCATCTGAGGCTACAAGGAAACATCTCAAAAAGACAAACAAAAAAGACAAAAACAAAAAACTAGAACGTTTATTTCTCTAAGCAATTTTTTCAGATGCTATGTGGTATGGCATATCTTATTATGTAGCTGGTGAATATAAAAGCTGAACCTCCACATAAAGTGTTTTGAGAATGTCTGAAAAAAAGCTCACAATGAAGACAAAAAGTTATGGGATTGCATACATCATGTATCTCCCTTAAAATAAGTGTGCTAGATATGTATAGATATATACATATATGTTATTTAATGTATGTAACCACATCTGAAAAACATATATCTAACCAAAATACATATCATTTATATACTTGCAGATTCAGGTTGGCTTTACCATACTATATGATAAAAAGATTTATATATGTTTACTTGTTTTTCATGTCTTCAGGGAAAGTACTGAGATAAAATATTATAGATGTGGGGAAAACTTCATTTGAAATAAGTTACTTTAAATTATGTGAAAAACATTTCTATAGAGTGATATTCAAGCCATACTCCCTAGTAGTTCACGCTGAACCTGGCATGAATTCTTGTGTAAAAAAAAAAAAATCTAGAACGATACATAAAGAATGTTCATGACGGTTACTTGTATAGAGTTGCACTTATTTTATATGTTTCTTACATCATTTCAATTTTAATGAGTGTCTGGATAATTAAAAATACTGTCCTGAAGACATGATCCTATTTTCCTATACAATAAAAACCTTAAATTAATTGAATGTATCAGTTATTGTTTTGAATTTTCTTTCCTCATGAATGTACAATAAATTTCATTAATGTAGGTTGTATATTTTAAAAATACTTTTGATACAAGAATTTATAGAATGTATTTTGATCATATTCAGCCCTCCGTCCTCCACCCTCACTTTGTTACCTCCTGTCCCTCAAATTCACATCCTTTATTATTACTTGTCTTTTGTTTTTTTAAAATATAGAACACTTCATGAATTTGCGTGCCATACTTGTGCAGGGGCCATCCTAATCTTCCCTGTATCATTCCAACTTTAGTATATGTGCTGCCGAAGTGAGCATTACTTGTCTTTTTTTAAGGCCTGTCAGATCTATTCTCTGTTTCCGTAATCTGGGCATGCTACCAGGTGTCACACCAGTAGGGAAAACTGAATCTTCTTTCAGCATCTGTCAGTTGCCAACAGATCCTCAGCTAGATCTGGGGCCTCCTGCCCACCTTCCTCGTCCATGCTTGGCTCCTGTCTGGATTGCATTTGCACAGGTCTTGTGCATGCTGTCACTAGCACTGCAGTTTATATATGCAACTACCCTGTAATGTCCAGACGATGCAGGTTCCTTGTGTTCATCCACCACCTCTGGCTCTTACAATCATGCATCCCGCCCCCCTTCCAAAATGATCCCAGGTCCTTGGGAAGAGATGGTGGACATAGGTGTCCCATTTAGGGCTGATCACTCCACAGTCTTAAGTTATTATGTGGTGCTGGGAATTGGATACAGGAACTCAAACATGCCAGAGAAACATTCTGCTACTGAGTCAAATCCCCAGCCCCAAACCCTTACATTTAGCAGAAAATTCTATAAACTCAAGAAAGGCTCCTGACTGGCTAGTGTGGCTTCCGTCCTTCTCCCATAAGAAGGATCTTTTGTTAAGGCCCAGCCTCTACATAAGCAATAGGGTGCATTTCTGTTTCTGATCATATGATGCAATGTGCCAGAAAGCCTAAATTGTCTCCAGGCAAGCAGTTTTATGAAGCACACAAAGCAGTGATAAATATTTAGCTAATAGACTATGGTACAGAGTGTGTAATGTAACTGTGATTTCGTTACATAAAAAGCAAGTGTAAATAAGAAATCCACATAATGACTGATGTGAAGATGAAAATAGAAAATCTGGAATATGGCTCATACTAGACACTAGTATCTGTGACTACTAATCTCACCTCACAGTTTTCTGAAGTGAGATCATTTCGGCATAGCCTATGTTCCAAAGAGCACTTCATCTTATAAGATCATACGGAAAAATAAACATGACATCTACATTAAGGATGGAATTTCGCCTCATCCCTGCCTCATGCCTAGTTGGCATGCCCAACTAGGGTTTTGGTAGGAAGTTTCTTGACACTGTTTCCATTTTATTGATTTGATTCCTGTCTTCCTTCTGCACAGCCTTGGTTAATATCAAAGTTGTAGTCTGTGTGTGATACGGCTTGAGCCCAGAAAGGCAGTGCAAGCACAGAAGTACCCAGCAAGGTGAAGGCTCTTCTGGGAAAGCTCCTGGAGTGAGAATCACGGCAGCTGGATCACAGGGCCAGACCAGCACAGTCCATGTGAAGGAGGGTAAGAGTCTTCTCCATTCATGAAATATATTACATTTACAAACATTCTGAAATCTTACAGGATAATTTATTTTGCTTCCTGCTCTATAGCTGTAGCATTTTACTTTTTAAAACCGTATTTTGCATTAACATTATATTCAGTTGAAAATTTGGGGTAAAACGATGTGCTCAACTCACACACTGCTTTTTAATGTTCATGAAGCATTGGGATCATTTGTGAACTTACTAGAATTATAACATTTTTAGCTCAATCCAGAACTTCTGAGTAAGACACTAAAGAAGCAGCATAGGAATCTTACAAACCCTCCATATTGTTCTCACAACTACTAAATATGTAGATCCACTCCCAGGGGTATAATACTAGGAATACAAAAGTATAAATATCTGATAACATACCTATAATCTCTGGTATCTCACTATGAGCATGTCTCCCTGTGCTGATGCATATACACACTGATTACTTGGATAACACGTGGGGGTTCTTGCATCCTAGGTACCAAAGACATTTTTTCAAAGTATTACCTCCCTTTCCATTAGACTGCCTTTTTGTCTCTGGCCCCTCATTAAACACTGTAGTTTATCTCTTTTGCTTGTAATTGTTCACCTTCTACTTTGGCAAGATAATTTTGTTAATATTCTTTTCCCTATTTCAATATCTTCCAGAGTTGTCTTACTCAAACAACATGTTCAAGTATCCTGGGGAAATTTTTGTGGAAGAGAACAGGGCACATAAGCCATAAAGTCTTTGTAGTTCTAAATCAAAAGAAACTTTAATAAGACTGTTGTTTGATAGCACTTGTATTTGTTGTCACAAGGGCAGCCAATCTCAATCTCTAATAATAATTACTAATAACTACTTGGTGCACTAATCTAAATAATAATGGATGCTGAATATGTCCTGTGTAATTGGAAAGACCAGTTATGGCCAGCAAAAGTTTTATCCAGATCTGAAACTTCATCAAACACTAAGAAAAAAATGACATTTTCCCTAGAAGTTCAAATACTCTCACTTGATGAAAAAATTACAGTGGACAGCACAGAAGCAAAGGTCCTAAGTAAATCCGAAATTGAAACCATTATGTCCTCACTAGCAGTACAGTCAGAGGTCAGAGCTTTGCCTAGAGAGGAAACAGCCTATGAAAGATCACTAAAAGCAGCACTGGAAATCCTGAAAGAGAGAACAACTTTGAGTGAAGAAAGAATGTCGGATGAAGAAGAGACCACTGCATTGTCTGAAAATGTGCCACAAAATTTGTCTGATTCACCTCCTCATAAGAAATATCGGAAACAGGAAGGCAACGTCTACAAAGACCCAACACCTGTGTTCATATCTTCGCCTAACAATGATTGTCTATCTGATGATAAGTCCCAGTTGCACACAACCACTGATGGTATTTCAAATGAAATGGAAACAAAGTCATCACAAAACTTCAGCTTGTGCCAAAGTTACCCATCACTTTCTGATGACGATGATGATAAAAAAGAGGAAAAGAAAAAGATCGAAATTTCAGCAGTTTCATCTGTGAATTTCTCATTCAAAGAGGAGAGTGACTATGTCAAAGAAGAAAAGTATACTCCTTCATCAGATGGTCTCCGTGTGCCCAAAGCTGTGAAAGAGGAGGAACAAGATGACCACCCACATGTCCCAGCTATGTCCTCTGAATGTTCCACCTTCTCCGAGAACAATATGGAAGATCCGGGAGAGGGCCCATCGAACGTGAATCCTTGCACCTATGCCAGCCAGAATCAATCTTCTGTGGAATCAGATGTGGGTGCTGAGATATCCCCTGCAGGGTGTTCAGGGGAATATCAGGTTTCGCTACCTGCCTCTCATCCTGTCCACAGTGATTTCCTACGTCAGAGACTGGATTTGGAAGATCTTGATGAGGAAGCTCGAGCTTCTGGCAAATTGCTGGAGCTAAATCCTGTTACTGCGGCTGCATTAGAAAATGATGAGAATGAAGATGATGAAGAGCTTCCACGGTTCATTCTTTGTTATGAAACACGTGCATTTGAAGAAGGCATGATAGTATGGTTTAAATATCAAAAATACCCATTTTGGCCAGCAGTGATTAAAAGTATCAGGCGAAAAGAGAGAAAAGCAAGTGTACTTTTTGTTGAGGCAAACATGAATCCTCAAAAGAAAGGAGTTAGAGTATCTTTCAGACAGTTAAAAAAATATGACTGCAAAGAGAAACAAGCACTAGTGGAGAAAGCCAGGGAGGAGTACCGTGATAGTATTGACTGGTGCATCTCCCTGATTTGTGACTACAGAGTTAGATTAGGTTGTGGTTCTTTTTCGGGCACTTTCTTTGAGTATTATGCTGCTGACATTAGTTATCCTGTCAGGAAAATAATCAAACAAGATACCTTCAGAAATATCTTCCCAAAGCTATATGATGAAGACACAATGGAGCCAATGACTGTGGCATCTCACACCAAGAGAATGACCTTCCAGAAAATTCTCCCTGACCGTATGAAGCCCGCTCGGGACCGAGCTAACAGAAATCTAGTCAATTTCATCGTAAATGCAAAAGGAACAGAGGATCATCTGCTGGGCATTTTAAAAGGCACAAAAAAATCCAAATGGCTGAAATCATTTTTGAATGCAAAGAGTTTTACACCCTGCATTGAAACCTACTTTGAAGATGAAGATCAATTAGATGAAGTGGTGAAGTATCTACAAGAAATCTATAAACAAATAGACCCGAAGATGCTAATCCAGATAAAAAATGACAAAATTAAGTTCATCATGGAAGTTCTTCTGCCAGAAGCAATTATCTGTTCAATTTCTTTTGTCGATGGGTTAGATTATGAGACAGCTGAGGCAAAGTACCTGAAGGGACCATCTCTAGGCTATAGGGAGAGAGAGTTATATGATTCAAAAATCATATTTGAAAAGAGACGGAGGTCATTAGCAAATGAAGTTCAGTAGTTGTCCCACGAGTCGAAACCGTAAGAGGAGCTTTGGTGGATAGCGCATTGAAAAAAAAAAATTCTCTAGAAGTTCTCACATGTAAATATTTTCTGAAAATGAGAGAATTGAGATAACATATTCCTTTTCTTTTGTGAAAATCTGTAGGAGCTGTAGATACCACTACATGTTTTTTTCCATGTGCTTCTTCGGATTCAGTTTTGTCAGTATATTTTAACGGTTTGATTTAGAATGCACAATTATTAAGTGACTTTAAGTGAAAGTACTATTTTGTTTACGATATTTTTGTGTCTTTGCTTATAAAGTTCAATATAGTGTGTAAACTCGGTTTAACAAAATTGCACTGGTGTTAGATATTAAGTGAGAGTATCAGAAAAAAATGTCTGAAAAATACCAGTTATATATATTTTTGCTTGATTTTTTATAAGATACTAAGTTTTCTCTTAAGATAGTTGAATTATTTTTCCTGCCATGCCTATTTATTTTTGGGAAAAGTATCTCTGAAACATAGAACCAAAGATAGATAAATGTCGCTATATATCATAACTATCCACAATTATTTTGCAAGAAAAACAATCTAAAAGTTGAAAAATAAATGGGTTATCTGCATGTAATCTATACGCATGTGTTTAACATCTCAGCATGCAGAAAATAAATCTGGCAGCCTTGAACAAAATTGTTCATTCTATACTTCCCTGAAATTCCATTTTCTGGAAGTCTCTGTCTTTTAAAACAGTATAGTTTCTTAAACCAGATAGGCTTTAGCCTGTCTTCATAACAGTGAGTGAAACTTCTTAGATATAGCTATTTGAGCACATGTAGAAGGCAGCTACAATCAGCATATCAACAGTTTGGCTACATTAGAGTCCAGGCTTGCTGCTTCAGAGGCCATCTGATTTGATGTAAACTAGAAAAAAGCAAGCACTGTATTGTGAATCTTGTCTCCAAATATAAAGTCATTTGTCTCCAACCAAGCAAGCTTTAGCTTCTGGCTTATTTGTAGAATGGTTCCATTGGTTCCCATAACATAAATGTGAACTAGTAAATCATTCCAACCAACTGGATGGACCAGAATCTGGAAATTGGAAAAAAAAAGTTACAAAAAAGTTTTCCACTTGCTAAATGTGATAGGTATCTGCATATGGTTTGATATTCAAAATTAGAAGTGTTTAACTGATACAATCGCTTACTGTAACTTGAAACAAGATTTTTATAAGACTTAATCTTAGAAAAGCTAGTTTATATTAAAACCTTGATGTGAAAAGAAGTACTAAGGGCTTAACACAAACCTATCTGTATTTTTACCTCTCAGAGTGAGATAACTTTCACTCTTGGGCTCTTGTTTTGTGTTCACATGGCTATATGTTTATGTAAACTTTGCAAAACTTTGGTATTTGATTTATAATAAAACCATACTATACTTCACCTTAGATGTTCATTTCACTTTAGTTTGTACAGCTTCATAGTGGTGTTTGTGTAAATTAATATATATGCATATATTAAACACACAGAATTTGTTTGGAACTTTTGCTGGTTGTCATCATTTTAATGCTTGTTCTATATTATTCTAAATAAATTTCCACTTTCGTGGTTGATTCTGTACTGTTTCTAAAAAGCAATTACCCAGTGGTATAAGATTTGGACCCCACAAAACCATCTTTGGCTCCTGCCTAAAATTCACCAAGGCTCCTTTTATATAAAGATTCTGCCATGCCTTCCAAAGAGCTTTGAGAAGCATGTAAAAACACACCCGTCACACCACACAGTATATTGACTCTGTATTCAGGAAAATGCATTTTATTTACACTATAATACTGTGTCCCTCTTACTCCAATATACTGTGCCCCTTCAGTATTCTCAGAAAGCTATCCCTGTCTCTCTGTTCTAATACACTTTTATTACTCCATTCATTCATAGCATGGGAAATAGCAGAACCAGTATATCTTGTTTAAAGCTCTATTCTGAGGATAGATTTACAGATGCCATAGAAAACAGATCCAGGTTACAATTTCTACGATGACTATAATGTACTTCATCATAGTGAGAAACAGTAATCTTATGGATTGCCTGTATTTGAAAATGAGAGCCTCAGATTTCCTCAGAATAGTGAGTGTCTGGATATTTAGTTTGGGGTAAAGAATGGGCATCTGGGGCTGGAGAGATGGCTCAGTAGTTAACAGCACCAGCTGCTCTTGTAAAGTACCCAGGTTTGGTTCCCAGCACCCACATGGCAGCTAAAAACCATCCATAATTCCTATTCCAGGGGATCCAACACCCTCTTCTGACCTCCACAGGCATTACACAACATTGTTGCATGAATGCAGGCAATACACTTACATTAAAAAATAAAAATAAAACTTTTGAAAAGTATGGGCATCTGATCTATTTAGAAATGTCAGTTACCTTTTAGCATATGTTGAAGTGAGGCATCCTTATTCTTTAAATAGGTCATAAAGTGGTATTTGAGGTGTGGAAATGATTGGACTTAGATTCCAATTCAGTGCCAACTCAGGTTACTTCCTGATGGTGTAGTTATTAAGGTAGGCTCTAAGTCTGTCCCTGGCTAGATCTTGTAGCATCGGCTTTTGGTCTGAGGGGAAAGCCTGATCTGCCATATACCCTAGCTGTCGGGTTAAGTTGACCCTCATCTCCAGTTACAGCAGATTACTGAATTTTAGGTCCAGATTGCACTGAGAAGATCTGCAATGCTGCATGGAGAACATGCACAATATCCAGACACTTAAAAATCTATATAGCTATATCCTAGCAAGGAAAGAATAGAATTCTGATACCTGGAATAAATATGAAAATGCTAAAAATTTTTGAGACATGGTTTCATGTAGTCCACATTGTCCTGAAACTTGCTATGTAGCTAAGGCTGGCTTTGAACTTCAGATTTTCTTGCCTTTTTGAATGCTGTGATTTTATGTGTGCAAAACCATGGCCAGCAAAGTGAGAATCCTGAATACCTTAAAATCTCCTGAACCGCAACCTGACATGAGCAGTCACTCCAAGTTGTTAAAAGTAGGGGAATGGGTCATATAAAAGTTCTCAATTTAGCTAAATCAATTTCTGGTTCAGTATGCACAAATCAGTGTGAAAATCCAAAGCTCATGAATTGTTTATCCTAATTGATACAAGCCTTTTGTGAGATTAAATGCTAACAAAGATAGTTTATCTTTAAAATTCATGTGAAAATAAATGTTAAGAGCTATTTTGGGCCCTCACCACATTTTTGCTTCTTTATGTGGTTCATCTGAGCCTCATTTGTTATAACATATGCATGTATATATTCATGTATGTGGATATATATTTACAGTAATGACTGTATTGGTTGCAGGTGCATCTTCCTATATTTATTAGGGAAGCGGAACTTTTTTTTTTCTCATTTC